CAGAGGCTTCCCCAAAGGGGATTAGAACATAATCCCCTCTCTATTGCTGTAGTGGATTAACTCTGTATTCTCTCTGTGCCTGGTTTGCTCCCTGAAGGCTACAACAAAAAGACTCACTGCTCCTTAAACATGCTATGGAATTGGAAGTTGTAATTGGAGATTTCCAAAGGACGAGAGGAAAAATGACACACTATTAAGGCTGAATTTTTCATGATGTGCCTTTCTTAAAGAAAGGCCAGTTTAATGTCCTTTTATAAACTCCCAGAGAAATCGCATCTCAATAGAACGAAATTGGAGTAGAATTGAAAGAAGTCACAGTCAGTCCCCTTTCAGAAACACAGAGAGGAAAGTTGAGAAAATATGCTCCCTGTTGAAAGTTCACAGGATGTGTACTTTAAATTCTTACTATATTTCAGTAAATCAGTAAGTTTGGGTTGTGGTCGTTTCGTGATTTTTTTTTTCAATATTCCCAGTATAACTGTTTGGATATGTTAAATTACTTTGTAAGAGAAAGAAGTAGTTCACCATTTTTAGTGTTTTTTTATGATTTTCGTCTCCAAATGCCAGAAACTTCTATTAAAATGTAATTCAAGAGCCCTCTGTATTTATATTGAAGACTTTTCAGAGGTTTTAACTCTGATCAAAGATGTATAAGAAGACACTATGTTTCAGATGTGAATCATTCCACCTTCTTTCTCCTTTCGCCCCATCAGCAGTAAACCTTTAAACCGCTTGGATTTCTCCAAAGGAGAAATATGAACGCATCCCAAGGAGCATCGTGGTTGCTCAAGGGTTAAGGGAGCGGCTGGAACAGGCCAGAGCGTTGGGGGATTCTGAGGAGGGCGCGGGAGGCAGGAGGCGCCGCGGAGCGCGCGCACAGACCCTCCAATAAACACAAAGGAGGGCCTGGGGAATAGAAACCCAAATCCACTTGTAATCGTACAAGAGATTCGGGCATAATTACTTGAGCAACCTAGATTAAGATTGATGAGCCTTTAAAGTGGCGCTTCAGATCGACCGCCTCACCCTTTGGAAAGAAAAACCTTGTGGAGCGGAGGTGGACCCCGACTCCGCTCGGCTGCGCAGCGGACCCGCCAGCCCAAGACTAGCCCGGGCGTCCCTAGGGCTCACTGCTGGGCAGGAAAAAAAAAAGCTTTGCGATAGTCTAACCGAGGCGGTTGAGATGGGGGGGGGGGGGGGGGGGTGTCAAGCTGACACTGACACAGTTTGCTTCACAGCCACCGCCCCCAACCCCCACTAAAGCGCTGCACAAGTCGGCTGAGTCCTCTCTGTCCCTCCAGCAACAGAAAAGGGCCGGCTTTGTGCAGGACACTCATAGATTCCGTGTGAGCAGCTCCCAGGGAACGCGAACTTCCCCACCATCACAGTGCCCCGCGCCCTGCAGGGCTGGGTCAGCTCTCTGTGGCGGTGGCGGCGTGAGCGGGTCTCCATGCAGAGGGCCAGGGCCTAGCGGCAGCACCGGATCTAGCCTTCTCTTGCCTTTTTCCTGGGGTTATTGACTCAATTGATTGTGTGTATTCGAGGAGGGAAATGACAGGGATTGGACACTCCCTCCTACTAAAAAAAAAAAAAACAAGACGACGGAATGCGTTATTTCTGATTGTCAGGTCGTATGTTCACATCAGGTTCATGAAGAATGCCTCCTCTTTGGGGGATTTTAAAGAGTGTAACTCTTCTCCCCTTGAACCAGTGCTCTTATAAGTGGAATTTAAATGGAAGGAATTCTAGTAAACATAGTAGGCACAGTTTCTTAAAAATTGCTTTTTTACCGAAGCCTAGTCTCTCTAGTTTTAAAAGTTGGGAAATAGCACTTTACGACGCTTTTTCTGAGAATAATTTTGTTCAAGTGTCTTCGCATTTTCATCACTTTGACGGGTTCACTGTTACAAAGTGACTGCTACGATTTTCGTTCCTTTCCACGTTAGAACTTGAATGTCCATTTGTACGCATAAGTGTATGTGGCGCGCCTTAGAACGCCTATGTTAAAATAACCTTACTGCAAAATGCTAACCACTTACTTCACAGTACAGTGGACCTCCTTCATCTCTTCTCACCTCTCCTTGGCGATTGAGGAGCGCCTACATGGTTTGCAAAGGTTTTATGAGAAGGCAGTGCTCACTGCGTAAGGTCTCTTGGAAAGCCAGTGATGTTCAATGGCGAATCGGACATTATAGGTTCGGTTCTGCACTTTTAAATTGGTAATAGCAGCGCCTCACCAACCATGTAGTATTTCTATGCAGAGGTTGCAAACACACGTTATGGGTCACCTATTTGGTATCCTGACTTCTTAGGGTTTTATAGAATTATTTATGTCTAGTCTCGTTATAAGGTAAAGTATAAGCAGACTTTAACACGGAAAGTCGTTGCCGCATAATATAGGCACCGTTTTTTCCAGTACCTTTTTAAAAATGAAAAACCTGTGGTATCTTCTGGGAGGGAGCAGCAGAGGGCCAGAGGGGGCTCAGCCTCACTCCCTGCCCTTGTCTTGCAGGCCCAGTGGTTCTCAGCACCCCTGCCCAGCTCATTGCTCCTGTGGTTGTGGCCAAGGGGACTCTCTCCATCACCACGACAGAAATTTACTTCGAGGTAGATGAGGATGATCCTGCCTTCAAGAAGATCGACACGAAAGTGAGTTAAAGTGATTCCATGTCTATTATTGGTGGCTTTGTGGCAGGAAGTGGTTTTCAATTTTGCTTGGTTTTAAATGACAGTGGGGGAGGGGAGCACATTCTTTAGTTATTCTCATCGGAAAAAAATGAATGAAATAACACACTCTTATGGAATTGAAGAATATATTAATGAATTTAAATCCTGTATTACCATATCATGCACATTTTAACAATCTTTCTGTGTCTTTGTGTACACTTGGGCAGATTTGGTAGTTTAAGCTCCCAAGTCCTTAGGGTGCAACTTCTCAATCTCTCTGGGAAAACTAGGAAAGGTCTTATGAAATTTCTTATTAAGATCACTTTTAATTTCCAAAAGTATAGATTGCAATGTGAATTGTTATTTACTGAAAGGTTATAAGGAAACCAGGATGGGAGCCATTTAGATATAATTTCATCTCCATTATTACATCCATTTTTCATCTCCTGCATTAAGAATGGATTTTACATATGGATTTAAGAGGAAGGAAAGCTGATTCTCTAAAATCTTCGATTTTAAATGTATATACATAGCACTCAGATGTTTAGAGATTGTATTCTTCTTTGGATGTAATGCTAGAAAATACATATTTGGATAACTTGACATGCATAAATATTTATTTACTTAATTTTAGCATGGAAATTTTAAATGAGCACTAGAGAAGCTATACATCTCAGCATTATCCTCTGAGATCCATTTTATTGTTTTAAATTTCATGTTATTGTGTAATTTACAAACTTCTCCCTGCAGTCAAAAATTCAAGAACAAGTGTCATATTCTAGCATTATTTTACAAAGATCTTCCTTTAAAATGTTTCACAGGCAGATACTATAAAATAGTCAAATGCTCTCATAGTTTCAGAACTTTATTTACATTTAACTTATATATTGAAATAAAGTATTATAAAACAGTATTTGAAAAGCTGCAATTAAAGTTCAAAAGGCTACCACCACCTGAATTAACTAACTTAAGGCCAGTCCTGTTAGCACTTGTTGACTAAACACCTTAAAATACTTCCTTCACTTCTAACTCCAGAAGCATTGAATTTTCAAAAAATTAGTTTGAATGCATTTGGTTTTAAATAATCAAAAGCTTGTCTTTGTGTTTTATCATTCGTTTGCCCTGAGAAGTAGAAAACAATTTTGGTTTTCTTATCAATTTATTCTGCAAATAGAACTCTTATTTGCATAAAGCATATTGATCAGAAATGACCTTTCTTTTATTGACTTGGTTTTCATATACAAATTTCAAAATTTTTATCATGACTTTAAGTTCATTTTCTCTGAATTTGTCTGATTTTTAACTCAGTATTCTCTGTCATCATGATAGATTTTCCTTATGCTACCAAAAAAAATGCTATGAAAATACTAATTAGAAGACCAAGCTTTCAGATGTAGATTTAAATTGTGTCAATTACAGAAAGGAATAGTCTTATAAATAAGTAAGAAACTGAGAGGAGATGGTTACTGTCTGTAGCTATACAAAAAGAGCCTTTCTCCAATGTCTTAAGTTTTATTTTTAATGATTTCATTAGCACATTTCTCAAAATGTTTAAATGTTCAAGTGCAGTCAGTGTTCAAAATGAAACATCACATCTTTTGATAGAAGAACAACTTAATGTGAGACACAACTGTTTTACTTCATTTATTAGCTTCTAATTAAATAAAAACCAGCAACAGAAATTAAAATCTAAATCACAAAATTATCCAGTGTATTTCAAGTGCATTTTTCAAATATATAATTCAGATATTCAAGCGTTATTATATAAGCTGAATTCAAATTTCTTTGAATATATTTAAATAACATTTCAAGTATACTTATGGAATGTTAGAAATAGAACAAGCAATATATTTGAAACAAAATGTAAACTTTTAAAGTTCAGACACTTTCAAGGACAGATAAAAGTACCAGGAAGAAATCTACCTTTAAATGGTATCTTTGTTAGTGGAAAATGTCTGGAAGTATCCAAAATGGCAATTTTAAGTTCTGTTCACCAAATCACAAAACACCAACATCCACACTTTCAAAGACAATGTGAGATCACAATATTTGTTACAAATCAAAATATACATTACACTTTCCTTCAGATGGCATATCCAAATCGTGTTTACTCACAGACAGATGCACCTAAATCACCAGGATTGCTATAATCCTTTGATATTTAGGCAGAGTGTTCGCCGTGGTCTTGCATTACAGTCAGGCTGTTTTCCGGGTGGTGTTGTGTACTTTTCAAGGGAGATATGAAATCTTACGTAAATAAGTCTTATAATACTTGGGGTTTGGGTTTTTCTCCACTTCTCATACTTCCTTTTCTCCCCTTGGAGGGGTGGGTGAGATGATGCCTAAGCATTGTATTACTCCTTTTTAAGGAAGAGAGTGTTTGCACTGGCGAATGGAATATTAGATAGGAATTGAACAGGAATTTTTCATTTAATTAGGACTTAAGAGAGACGAGTAATCACTTAGGCTCTTGATTAGATCATCCTCTAAAGTTTTTCCAAACTTTTCGGGTTGGTCAGGATCTCTCTTGCCAGTCGCCACGTTTGTTTGGCAGCGTTTTCCAGAGCCGAGTGAGGTTTGCCTTGAAACAGATCTAAGTTCGGTAGGAAGTAGTGGGGACACCGCCGGCACTGCAGGCAGGAGATGAGTTGCAGCAAAATCCCGTTTAGCCGATCACCGAGGCAAGACTCGTCCCAGTCTGATTCCCGGGGATGCTTTTCACACTCGTAGGAAACCAAAGTCTTCATGTGGTAATTGTTCAGGGGCTGACCCGGCAGTTCAAGGTGACGATCCCGCAAGGTTTTAAGGATGGAGAGGCATTTCTTTCTGCAGCCCCCCATCTGCAGTCTGTTCTCGGCTTCCGCGAACTGCAGCACCCAGGCGTCGCTCTCTGCCGAGCTCTGTTTGCCGGCCAGGGAGTGGCACTCCTTGGACAAGAGATTGAACCCTTCCGCTTTGACCTCTGCCACCCGGTTGGGTCCTGGCCAGGGGATGTGGGGAAGTGGCCAGTGGGCAGCACTCCTTGGCCAGATCCCGGTGCATTTGAAAGCTGGGGTAATCTGCACCACGTACCTATCTCGGATTCTCAGTTTCACTTCGCTGGTGTCAGCCACCATCTTTACCACATCCCTGTAGCTACATTTGTCTACTGCCTGAGCCACCAGCGTCTGAAACCTGGACCGGATTTTGCGCGCCGAGAGGTAGCCGGAGGCGGTAATGAATTCCACCCAGAGGGACATGCTCCTCTTGCGCCCGTCGCTCAACTTCAGCACCGCGCAGCCGGGCAGCGAGCCGTCGTCCACGAAGTTGAACACCCCCATTTGGTTAAGATAAAGCACCACTTCAAATTCGGTAGGGGAGATGACCTCCAGGCCCTCGTAGCGATTGTCCATCTCGTTGAGAGAGCTGATGAACCGGGGCTCCTGCACTTCCACTTCCTTCAGTACGTCGGAAACTACTTTACAGACTTCCCGGATAGTTTTGGCAATGGCAGCTTTCCTGGCTTGGCATTTTTCATTGTAGTACTTATTCAGATGGTAGACCAGCTTGGCCTGGGCCGCGATCATGTTGGGGCAGAGATCCGGATTGTATACCGGAGTCTCGCAGTAAGCTGTGGGATCCAATGCGGCTGCTAGAGCTGGAGCCAACTTCGGTGGAGAAATGGGCCGCAGCGCTCAGAAACGTCAAAAGTGTCTTTCCGACGTGCTGCAGCGGTGGCTTCCCCGCTGCTGCCGCTTTCCCCTTGCTTTTATCTTTGAGCCCAGCCGGTCTTAAAGTGAAAGATTATTCTCCCCCCCTTTCTCTGTCTCTCTTCGCCTTTTAAAGAATCCTTGTGTGAGAGAAATGCATGGAGAGATCACCTTCTCAGTAATAAAAACAAAAGTTGCGCTGAGACCCAGCAAAGCTCTTCCAGTAGTCAAAATAATCACCCCTTTCCGTATTTATTTACGCTTTCCCGTAATCATTGTGTGTAGAAGACTGTTAATCAGATGGAGGAAAAGTGGGCTGAGTGTGCGTCGGGGTGAGTGTGCGTGTGTATATGTCAGAAGAAGCTGCTGTTGGTTTGTCTAAGAGCCCAGATGCACTCGTGTGGAAATTATAAAGGCAGGGCCAGGCAGGCGGGCGGCCAATCGCCACTGGGCTCGTCACGACAGCCTCCTTCAGCTCCAACCCGGCTAATTAATCCCCCCTCATGGCTATAGGCACACAAACTAAAGGTAGGAGGCTGCTGCCGGCAGAAAAACACCCAGGCCACCTAGACAGTTTGGAAATCAAGAGGAATCTCTCAGCTTTGGTATTACTTGAAGCATATTGATGTTCTGAAAAGACTTGGCAAAGCAGCTTTCTTCTGTGCTGAAAACCCTGCTTGTCTGTTTAGGCTGAAATGCAAATACAGGTGTATTAATGGGCATCCATCAATTAGGGAACTAGATGGGGCTTTCTAAAAGAAAGTCACTAACTTACACTTAGACTAAGATAATTAGTGTCATTAATCCTGGGGTCTTTTTTAATGCACATTTGCTCTTTCACACACAGGGAAAGTTGACTTTAGAAGGAGTATTACTTGGGTGATTTTCTCTTTTTGTCACATTCTGGATATTCCTATGTTTGTATGATTTTTTTTTAAGCCTTGGCAAATAGTATACTCTTCTTTTTACCTGGTTTTTTTTTTTTCTTCTCCTCATTTGCACTTGTTGAGAAGAATCTGCAAATTATTGCGGAGTGGTAGATGTTATCTACCCCAGTGTGAGTTGGGATGTTTAAAAGATGTTTACTACACCCCCTAATCTGCAATCATCCATGCACCTCTGTAGACTTGCCTAGTGCTTCAATCAGGACACTAAGCTGTATATGTACTCATAGAAATGCTTTTTAAAAGAAATTATCTCTGGGACCAAGTGATTATTTTAGTATAATTTCATAATAAGTTGTATTTTAATAGAAGAAATTCAGGAGAGAGCATAAAAATCAAATCTACTGGCAGATAACTGTACCAAAAATTAGAAGGTTTGAGGGTTTTGACTTATTTACACATGTGCAGTTAAGGATATATTTCCTATCTTAAGGGTCCTTAGTCTACCTGACAGTAAACTTCTAATTTTATGCTATTTCATATTATTTAAGAGAAATTATTCATAATTTCAAAGAAAATTAATTTTCAATCATCCAGATTTTTTGACTTAAACATCATTTTGGAAAATTGAAAGAAATCAACATTTCTAATTTTTGGAAACTTAAAACTACAAGAGGAAATGAATTTATGTAGATTTTTTTTCTAAATGGTATTATTTGTGTCCTTAATGTACAGGGACTAAGGAAATATTTAGGGGTTTCCTAGTGGTTTTAAAACCTAGATGTATTTTTAATTGCCTACTTTTAATTTAAATGCCTTCTCTTTCAAAATAAGAATATTTTCAAAGAAATTCTGTAACTCCAGTTAACAGGTTTGTAGGCATTTTCAGCGCTACGTTTAACAGTTCTTGTTGAGGACTCCCACTTTTTACTCCTTTAGATTTTTCTTTTCTTTTTATTTATTTATTTTTTCTTTCACACAGATATGCATCACAGAGCCTCCTAGAATTTGCTTTCTCGGTATCTAAGAGTGATAAATTCCGATTTAGGTTAAAATAGCACATTATATTTGGGGCTCATGGCATGCATCTTCTCATTTCCCAAGACCCATCCTTTCCCTTAGGGCAGGGATTGGGAACCCGAAAAGCCGCTCGCCACTTTGCCAGCGTCGCGGGTGAACGCACTGCTACCTTTTGGCAGTTGGAAGAGGAGGAAAACATGGCAAATCGGAGTCAGAGGACCCGAAGCCCGCGAAGGCAAAGGAGATGTAGGTCTCTGGGGAAAGGCCACCTCTGCCCTCACCCAGTGCGGATCCCCGGATGCTTCCCGCTGGCCACCTCTTCCGCACTCCTGAGCCCTTTTGCTTTCCTCTTTTGCTCACTGTCCCGTGGACTTGATTTTTGCGTGCGAGTTATTGAGAGAGAGAGAGAGAACGAGAACAAAAAGGAACCTTTTTGGTGCCCCGGCTTTCTCCTGGTGTGCTCCTGACTGTGCTTTTTGCCCACGCGCCCCTCACCACTCGCTGCCTTCCCTCCCAGGAGCCGAGCTGGCGCTTCCTCTCAGCCTTGGGCCCTGGAGTCCAGAGCCTCTCCCTTGGGTTCCAGCCAAGGATGCTCGGCCCAGAGAACTCATCCTTGCTTTCTAGGGCCACCTACAGACACCCTCCCCCGCTCCCCTGTTGCGGAGGACAGGAGGCAGCCAGGGACTCAGACGCCCCGGGGCCGTTCGGGTGGGTCTAGTGAGCAGGGCACTGGCCCGCGAGGGGCACCGGCCCGGCCTCTCCTAGCCAAGCGCGCAGGTGGCGCATCTTCGGGGCTCACTGTGCGGATTAATTGGGTTAAAGCGAAGCTAAACACCGAAGCACTTTGTGGAAACTAATTGGTGCAACCGGGGCCTCTTCACTAACGATTTGCACTTTAAGAAAGAAAAATAGGTGGTGCGAAAAAGACTAAGAAACTCGTTAGTCCTAGCGTGTTCCAGGGAAGTGAAGTCATTCGGTTTTAAGGACGCTGGGACCACGTTTTCAGAGCTGTTTCCTTAAGCACCCATCACACCCAGCGCTGATAGTGATTTACATAACATAAGCTTCGCCGGTCCGCTGTTATCCTCGTTGGTGAACTGGGCGCCCTAGAGTAATACTCTGGTGCAAGTTGTGCTTGTTGCTGCAACACAGTGATTTTCTATTACACTGAACACGTGAAATGAATTGTCTTCTCTTGCTGAATCCTTTCAGTGATCTTAACACCCCTCATTGTTGAAGGGAAAATTAAACTATCTGGACCACTGTTTTTTTATCCCTTACATTTTTTTAAATTAAAATGACCTATGGAGAAGAATTAAAAATAATAGTATATTTTTGTGTCATTCAGTTGACTTCAATCTAGGTTTTGGAGTCAGGTTTATTTTGTAGGAGTAATGTATTTAACTACTTTATAGTATTTTTTAAAAATATCACTTGACCCATTGAACTAGTTATTTCAAATGATGATGCAATTCATAGATGGCTTAAAATCCTTCTCTTACATATATGAAAAGTTTATAAAAGAACTCTAAAGATACCAGTCATTGGTTTTTTTTTTGCTATAGCTACAATCTTGGTGCTAGAATAAAAGCTTGTGTGTGTCCCTTTCTTTAAGAATAAATGCTTAATTGTTTTCAGTGGTATGCATGCAGGCCATCTTTGACATGGGCTAATAATAGCATGATAATTGAAGAAAACTGACCTAATTAAAGGGAAAAGTACCCCAAGAATCTCATGATTTAATGATTAAGATACTTGTATTTGAATGTTATTTGGGATTTTAAGGTTTGACTTTTTCTCATTTTCCTAGTTCACCAGGCAGCCTTGATTTAAAATGTACCAGTAGGAAAAAAAAAAATCCAATAAAGATACAAACACATCTGGATAAAAAAATTATCAAACATTATGATGTTTATTACTTTAAAGCATTCCAAATAACAGTACATAAAAAAAGAAGAAAAGAAAAGAAAAACTTCTTTTGAGGTACTATCTCCTGAGTAACTAATAACACTTTTGTAGATCTACTTACTATGTGGACTACACAAAGTAATGCATAAACCATCTCCTCACAAGGTTTAAAGAAAAACTCTATTATGTGCGATGCAGGAATGCAAGGTCTCTGTATTTTTAAAATGATCCTCATTTAAATTTGAATTTCATGTGCACAAATTTCAGCAATTGTAAACTTTCCTCTAGAAAACTGTATCTGTTAGATGATATGCACACACATTAACTGCTTATATAGATACTATTCTGTGATTTTTTTCATTATATGCTGGGTGCTAGTTTATTCACAAGAACTCATGAATTTAAAGTTTTTTTTTTAATATGTGCTTATTACACTGGGGAGATAAAAAGAATATGAAGTTGAGTTTATTAAATTATTTATCCCTACTGCTGGAGTGGCTTTGAAGGCTCATTGTACATATCTGATGCCACCGCCTCTTTTTTTTAATGTAGCCGGGCTATTTCAACTGTTTCATTCTGCCAGACACAATATATTTCTTTTTTTCCACTGGAGAAATTAAAGACAGATATTTGTGCAGGGTTTTCTTTATGTGTCACATTAAATAAAGTAAAATAGAGGGAGTTTTTCTGGTAATCTAATTTGATGGTGTCTATACCTTTCTTCCTGTTGTGACTCCTGGTATAAGAACACTTGAAACAAAATAGCTTGAAATCTTGGAAAGGACCATTGATTTCCTAAAATTGTTATTTCATGTTTTAATATTAGGGTCATTACAAAGTCAAGCAGAAGATTGAGGTCACTGTTTACAACATTTTAGGCCCTATTTTTTTTCTTCAATGTGAGCATCCTGAGAATTGTGGCTAATTTTTTAAAAAAATATTATTTTTCACTTGAATGATCAAGGCCATTTCCTCGGTTTTATCACCCAAGTGTGCAATCACTTGTAGTGGCAAATACTTCTTTTTCTACAGTATTGCTTAGTAAACTTGATATTGGTGTTAATATGTCTACGGCCATACCACCCTGAACGCGCCCGATCACGTCTGATATTGGTGTTAATAGGTATTGAAAAGGAAAGTAACTTTTGAGATTAAACATGGATGTTGAAAGTATATTGTACAAGAATTAGCCTCTTGCTTGATTTGCAGACTTGAAGAAATTATAGGTAAAGAAGGACCAAATCTTTCCTTTGATAGAAAAAGAAATTTAAAGCCTGGCTTATTTATAATTGTCTCAGTTTCCTCACTTCATTTGAATATATACACACAAGTGCAGGGTATTTTAAGTTGCATATGTAGACTGAAAAAAAAAGAGAGAAGAGGTTATCAATCAAGATTGTTCATAATATGTTATGATCTCTAACCTCTTCCAAATGTTATGGACAATGGGTTTATTCATTGATCTCTTGAGTATTATGGAAGAAATGTTGATTCCACTATTTTAGTTCCTCATGGACCCTTCATGAAGTCACCACTATGTTTCTAATTG